AATTTGACTCTTCAATGTGTGTCAGATTTCGTCTTCATCTCATCTCAACCTTTGCTCTTTGAAGTAATACAGACTAAAGAGAGTGATTCCATCGTCATATGTTGTCCGTGAATTTCTTTTTCAATTTATGGTATTATGGGCATAATCGTATCTATAACAGTCTCGATCGTGATTGGTTCTCCGCGCGCCTATTTGTCACATAATCGGCGCGCGATCACGCAGGTGTCCAATTTGAACTTTTTGTAATTGGATCACTGTAACTGGATACCCATGTGATTCGCACGTCATTTACGCGCGCTTTAATGGCTTCCTTGGCAATGTTTCCTACAGTTTTCAAAACTTTTGAAAAGCGCTACAGACGTGTTCGCTCAAAAGAATTTATCAAAAGACATTTTTATTGCCGAAATTTGTTATAGATACGATTAATTAGTAATTGGACCTCGTATCGTACAATTCAAGGAGAAATCGTGCTCGTAATTTCAAATCGGCCTCGCGCTCGGCGCTCGTCCGATTTTGAAATTAATCGCGCGATTTCTCCCTGAATTGTGCTCCACTCGGTCCAATTACTATAACGAATAGGTGTGGTGACCTGTAAAGGCGTGGTAGTGCAATGTTTAGGGTGCTGGACTCCATATCCAGCGGTCCAAAAAGGTTGAACTCTGGCTGCAGTCACTGAGTTGTGTTCTTAATCAATAAACTTTACTTTCCGACTCGCTCTCTCCACCCAGGAGTACAGTAAACACCCACATATAAGAACCTAGAATTTTGGAGGTCAAGCTGCACAGGTTCTTATATTTTAGGGTAGCTTTTCACAATTCAAGCTGATTAGGTTCTTAATAGGTTCGTATTTTTTTATAAGATATTTAGATTTTCAATCGTTTATATTACACTGTAGCTTTGTGGAAAACATATTTCTAGTGAAACCCCAAAAAATGTAAACCAAAGAAAACATAGACAATAACGTTTTGTCAGATTTTGATAAAATTCATAATTTAGACTATCATAATTGGAGTGATATTTTTGAATAAGAACCTATTTGTTTTTGCCAGGCTGAACAGGTTCATATATTTTTGGGTAATTAAATGCCAAATGTCAGCCTGTAGGTTCTTAAATCATTAGGCTTTTATATGCGGGTTGTTTACTGTATAGTATAAGGTTAACCCTTCACAGACTAGCATTTCATCGAGTTAACAAATTGACGTCAGTTCTTTATGCGTCTGTCCTCTTATTGATGATAAATTGCGGCATAACATTGTCAAAGTGGTTCCGCAGTAAACTTTGACAATGTTATGACGAAATTTATCATCAATAAGAGGACAGACGCATAAAGAACTGACGTCAATTTGTTTTTTACAATAACAAGACTCCAAACTGGTCAAATGCCGCGAATAAATGAGGGGAAAAGACGCGTAAACTTGCCGTACACAAAGATAAGTGAATTTTGTTCAAAATGACGCGAACATTGTCAATAGCTTTTCTCGCTTTTTGACTGGCTTCTTAAAAAAGTCCATAAAATCTCATTGGTTAAAAAGTTGACAGTTTGACAGCTGAAATTTGAACTTGAAAGCTTGCATAAAGTACAATTTTATCCGTCTGTACTCTTATTGATGATAAAAATGAGCCAATCAGCGCGCGAGAAATTAGACAGTTATTGTAAAGTGGTTAGTAGTAGAGCATATAATCCTAGTTGTTTCATGGTGCGGAAGCAATGATGAGCGCCGCATTTATGGGCCACCAGGCGTAATGAAGAATTTACCTGTTAAAAACGGACAATTGATTTACGTATTAATGCATTGTTAATGTTAAAGCAGAGATACGAGTTTAGAAAAGAGCTTCTTATTCTATTTGTTACAATCATCATAGCAGAGAAGTCGTCAGGATGTCACAGAAGTGAAGCACAGAGTAAACCAGCGCACAGAGGACCTTTCAACGGCACTATCACGTTTACAGTTGGTAGGAATGCTGATCTTGCTTTCATTTATTTGTTTGAGAAATAATGTCAAAGTACTTTTTTCGAGTAATATGAATAATCGTGTATGGAGAGCAAACTAGCAAAACTGCACGAATTAAAAGTTCTCCTGAAAGCACTTGGCTTTATATTGCGTTAATCGTTGAAAAAAGAGTTTCACTTGCCCAATTTTTTTTTAATGTTTATTTTACTAACTTACAAACATAACTTACAATACATGAAAAACCTGCCTACAATATTTTGCATTACGTTACTTGCTTACTTACTTACAATACGCAATAATTACTTATTATGGCCTTAACTGGTGAGAAAGAATTTTCACTTCTGTTGAAGTTCCCTTTCACCATTCAACGTGGCAGCAGTATGTCTTTCTATCTCGATTTTGTCCTGCACTAATGAGATGAAGTCGCTGAAAACGAAAACAAACGTAGTATTATTTAGCGTGTTGATATATAGAACACATTTGCCTAACATTATGAGGTGGTTGAGGGTCAAACGGTGCGTACAGGGACGAATAATTCCAAATAATGCAAGTACCTCTGGCTCAGAGGGAAGTAAACTTGCATTACTTCCGGTAGAATACCAACTTTAGAACTTAACCCAAATGTAAGATGCTGGCAGGCAGCTAATAAACAAATGTCGTATGTTTTGCCTGTCAGAGGGGCAGAAATTGCCCCAAATTACGGCAAAAATAAAAAGGTGTCAGCCTTGAGAAAGCGCCACGCCCATGAACAACAACACAGTGCTTGTTCAAAACAGCTCTAAAGCGACACTTATTCAATTGGAAACTCTTTCAGGCCCTGCAATTATCCCAAGACAGCAGTGAAACGGTCAGTATACATGCGCCATTTGCTGATCTTGATGCGATGATCAGTTCTTTGTCTTCAGCAATACAAGTAGAAATCGACAAGTCCCAGGTAAAAATAACATTTGAATCTAGAAACAAGCAAGTGAAGAAATGCATTATGCAGATTTACAAGTAGAAACAATATCAGTATTTGTTACATATGAGTACAGGCTCCTGGCCTGATGATTAACATTCATGAACTTTCTGTATGGTCCCAGATGTAGCTTGTGTGGCGTTATGTAATCGAGAGAACGACGTCAACAAAATCACGTGATACGCGACAGTTCGACCTCGTATTGTACGTGTTTACAGTCGGTCGATTACTGTATCAGTGACTGTATGTGTTCATAGTCGGTGAGATTATTTACTGTTTCCAGCACAGTAAAAAACAATTCGCTGTTTAAAGCGGACAAAACCTTCATCCTACTTCTATGAACTTTTGTTTATCGGTTGCTTCTATGATCAATATTTCTCTAGTGTGAACCATACAGGCATAAAACTTAATCAAAAATCCAGTAACCCCCCAAGGTGTTAACATCTCCAGTGACCACTACCAAGCAGCAACAGATCTGTTAATTTCATTTAGTTATTTATCGATGCATTTTTTTGTCAGGTGTCCGAAGACAAAGAAGCCAAGCAGATTGTTGATTGTGCAATAAAAGCTCTGATCACTGAACTTAAAAGAGAAATGGCAGATATTCAGGAATTGAGGTGAACTTGTCAATCAGACATTTAAGTTTATTGAAAACTGTACTGATGATCCACGACAGAATGCAATAATGTATAGCTACTTTTGAAGGATTATTGTAAAAAAAAGTTAAAGTGATTTTTAGCACGTTTTGTTTGGTTACTTCATTGAATATAATCAATCAATAAATCGATCAATCAGTTAATCGATGATTTCTTTGAAACCACGGTGCAGGGATGCGCTTACATGCCTTTTANTTCTTACGACAGGCGGAATTGGCCAAGTCTACATCAGAACACTTCCCTGAGCTTCCAATAGCTCATCCTGAACTGGGAATTTCAGGATTTTTGGTAAGGATTTTCAATGTATGCCGTTTCCACTGTACCGTCCTACTAGCTAATGTTCCCTAACTCTAAAATGCAAAAACATACACGTACAAAATGTAAGAACATGCATATACAAAATGCAGGAACATACGTATACTAAAGGTCCAATTTCTGAGCACTGTATTCAGAGATACCCTGTAATGGGAATGCTGCAGCCACCGGTCACCCCGCTGTTTCAGACATTTGCTACAGTACTTGTGCAGCCCGGTTTTGCTGGTTAAATCAGTAAAACAAGCAATGTGCAAAAGAAGACTGTTACATTTTTTAACTTTCTGCTTAGGGGTGCGTTGTATGTTGCGGGGGGGAGGGGGAAGAGCATTATGTTTTAACCAATTCCAACAAAAAACGGTATTTAAACCGAAGACATTCCAATGTAACATACGCTACACAAATGGATAGATCCTTTTGGATGTTATGATCTGTTGACAAGGAATTTGAATGCTTTGCTAACGTAGAAAATTGACATAGCTTTGCTGAGCTCTGGTTTTCTAGCTCTATGTAGAGCAAGAAGTATTTATTTTATCTTACAGACATCTAATGGGCTGGTGAAACCAGGAAGAGAGTTGGAACATTATCCACACTACGACTCTGTTTCTTCTGTTAGCCATGACAAGTGTTCTGTTATCAAGACTGAATTTGCTGGAAGGCCTTGTATATTGAAGGTGTGCCTTTCCAATATTAGATCATTTTGTTTAAGGATATGCTTTATCTCAGTGCAATCACCAGATTACTGAAGAGTTCCATTCTTATTTATTCAAATGGTAGCAAAAAACGTGGACACGGCACAGAAATTACGGATATCGATTTTTCTTATAAAGCCAAAAATGCATTTCTCCTTATAAATGTATGAGCACGTTTCTCCTCAAGGGATATTTCATAGTATTGATTGATGACATGGACATAACTATGATGACACANAACCGACAAAAACCCACTTAATACAATTTAAATTGTTTATTTTCTATAAACCCGCTTGTTTACAGAAAAAAGTTTCACGGACGAGCACTATCCATCCGGGTATTTTCCGCGGACAGGCACTATGGGCTGATAGTGTCTCTCCGCGGACGAACGCTATCGCGTCACGTGATCGATTTAAACCAATAACAATCGGAGAAAATTTAGTGGTGAACTATAACAGCAGATAGAAGACGGTAACAGAGCCCATCAAATTCAGGATTCACAATAGACTGCGGTAAATTTAAAAACTCGCAAGAAAACGACAAAAAAAAACAAGAAAATGCGCGGATTTCCAATAGAACACAGCTGAGTGTCTACAAACAATAATCAAATTATGAGTTCTAATTTTCTATCCCGTGTGTAGATAGTGAGTAGCGTGGTTAGTAAGAGAACGGCATTCTTGATAGAACACTAGTGGATTTATACTTAGTAATGATAGGAAGTATCTTTTTTTTCATCCTGTAGGCATCTAACGGGCTGGTGAAACCAGGACGAGAGTTAGAACATTATCCTCACCACGACTCTGTACCTTCTGTTAGCCATGACAAGTGTTCAGTCATCAAGACGGAATTTACTGGAAAACGTTGCATACTGAAGGTATACCTAACTAACATTTAAACTTTTTTGAGTGAGTTAATACCTTAATCTGCACCAAAGAGAACACTAATTTGATTGTGTTATCTTGTACCTTCAGATGGTAGCGAAAGTAAGGACGTCATCCGGGAATCCGGGAATCCGGGAATCTTGCTCTCCCTGGGAAGCCTTGGGCATGTGTAATAACACTCGTCATGTGACTTCGATATAGGAGAATCCTTGCTTGCAATATTTGCCTCATTGGGATAGGCGATTCAGTGTTTGTGATGGAGCTACAAAGATATCAGTTCTGAATATTGAAAGGCATAGCGCGATTAAATGTCCCAAGGAATTTGAGGCGCGATATATTGAAGACTTTTTGTGCAAAGCGGGCTTAAAAAGCTCAAAATTTTACGAACAATGTATAGCTTACTGGTGATTTTGTCACCCAAAACATTTTGAAGTTTTTGACACCCATTTCCCCACGCGCATTACACTCAAAGAGCCATATATTTCGCCATTTACTAAGTTTCACAAACTCTTTAAATGTCTAGAGTCAATTTGTACCAAGCATGATGCCTTCTCGGCGCAAAGTCGTATGTTAATGAGGAAAAATGATACGATGTTAGTATAATCCGATATAATCATAGTGGTAATAATTTAGGGAATAAATCGCTTTGCAGTGTCTTGCTGAAATGCAGACGATAGCTTTGTTTTAGCGAATTTAAGAGTATTTCTAAATTAACCGTATAGCAAAATTGAAAAGCTGGTGTCTTGGTGATTGCCTGCCTGGTGATCAAGGTTCACCTTCCTGACTGGAGTATGAACATAAATAATACTGTTAAAAATATACTGTGGAATCCCAAGTTTTCGAAATTGGCTGAAAAACCGGTTAGTTCAAGAAATTGGGGATCAAATTACAGTGCTTGACTGAGAGGAGGGGAAGGATATTTGGTTTTGGAAGATTAAAAAATTGGAAGGTTTGGGAAATCGGGATTGACACCCCTTTAGACTCTGGTAACACTTGTTGTATTTCACAGGAGCTGAATATAGACAGAGAGGTGGGAGGCATTGAAACTCTGCAAAGAAAAGCTGTTGACTACCACAGTGTTGATAACCCTTTCCTGATGTCCTTGGATGCTTTCTTTGTCAAGGTATTTATGAGGCATCAAGAACTATGCCGCAAGTATTGTGACAATGATCAGCTAATTAGGGTCAATTTTAATTGGATTAGAGGGTAAGTGCTATAAAGGTAGCAGAAGAGGAGGGTGGTAATCTCAACTGCAGCAAGGAGGTCACCGTGGGAGCCCAGACACTGCCCACCTCAAGAAATGTGCAATGTGCCATAAGTATACTATTAAGACAGTGAGCAGCTACGAGAATCAATGTTATGCCTTCAGCGTTTAAACACGCTACTTCAACTGGTGTTAAGAACTGCTTGGATGCATAACAGTGTTGCATTATTGATTGTTCTGCTTAATGTTTTTCATTAATAGGGAAACAGGGCATTTGTTCAAATGCCTCTTTTGACTAGCGCTGAAGAATGGCTTGCATCTCATGAGTGTTCGTCGGAGGTAAGCTTGAATTCACAGTCGGGTTATCTGACTGACAACAACAACAACAACAACAACAACAACAACAACACGTTTATTTAGCTTCAGTTACAAATATGATGTAAAAAATAGAGGACCATAGCTGGTAAAACATAGCTTAGGGCAGGAACCAGCTAGCTCTGAAGTGCGCCCCAGAAGGTAGCTAGTTTTGGATTAATTTTGGAGGGGGAGACGCGCATAGTGGAGAGGGCCGATGGTGATTTATTTATATAACTTCGCCTAACTAAAATGCTAACTTATATACATTGAAAATCCATTAGACAGAGAGACCACTACAGCGTAACCAATTACAGTGGATCCCAGGGTACTGATAAGAATTAAACTTAAGCTACTCATATATAAACAAGAAGAATCAAAAGGAAACAAAAAAGTTCAAATTGCTAGAAACAACCCGACAGCGGGCACAGAAGAGACCTCCCTATGTTGCACCTGGGACAGATTGTTCTCTAGGTTCTTAGGTCATCAACGTCGTACAGATCTAAAGCCCTGTTGTAATATTGAAGTAGTAAACCTTTAAATGAGGTTAGAGAGATGTAACTTGTACGTAACTCAGTGGGCAGAACATTCAGAACAGAACATGTGCGGCACGCGCGTATGAAAAATGATGATGTGATAAAAGCAACTTAGTTTCGTCTACTTTTATTTGGTCAATTTGTACCACTCATGATCTTTTAGTCTCGATTTCCCATTAATTTTGAGTTTAGAGAAAACTGCTTTGAAGGTGATTTAATGACCATTTGCTACACGGTTGGGAAATCTGTAGGGCTAAATTAACAACAGCGTGGGAAGTTTTAAATTGCGATCGAAATTGATTCCTTTCTTTGCGAAATCCACGTATCCCAATATCCCAATGCTAACTTTTGTTAGGATCAGTTCCAGTCACTCCTATACAGCAGGTAATATCACTGATACAAGAAACAAATTATCAGGTGTAGTCAGCGTAGTAAGGGGATCTTTCTTGTGTGGAATGCCCCTTTCACTCGTGACTGAGAGGAAACAGAAACATTCAGCGATGTACATTTCTTGCAGGATATCACGCTGATTTTGAGAGACATTCTTGATGCTTTGAATTCACTACATTTAAAAAACATTTGCCACGGCTGTGTGCAGCTTCAAAGTGTATTCGTAGAGAAGAGGTCTGGAGAGTACAGAGGAGTACTTGACTTTTTTCCGTTTACCAACTCGGTAAGTTTTGTAAAGTTCTGTGCTGTTACTACGGTTAAGTGATTTTGTTTCATGTGAACCTAACGCGGGGGACTTGAAAGTGAAAATATTGTGGACCAAATGCAAACTGAGGGGAGAGGGGGAGAGGTAACCTGCGACAGACACGCATTTATTGAAGTAGCAATTCTCCTAGAAGCTTCATGCTACAAATGACAGAGTTAAGTTGTGGTTTATAAGTTCATGACGACTTACCTACCCTGCTCTGACGATATGTCTATTTTATTCTCAGCAATGTAGTCAAGCTCGAGATATGAAGTTATTTGGGGATTTAATTGTTAAGGTAAGTTAACAGTCGTTAACTTGCAATTCCATTCTTATGATCGTGTGTACTGCAGATTCGTTGAAAGAGTTGCGTCGTGTAAAAAGCTCATATTCAAACAGTTGAACAAAACCTTTCCAAACTCGTTTGTAATCCGTCTGAATCCTTGAACAATTTACACGTTCACATCAAACTACAGCTTTCAAGTGCAGTTTTCGTTTGTAATAGTGTTTATTTTAAGCTCTGTTAAATCTGTACATATATAGTGTTTTGTACCAAAAGTAGCCTGTGAGAAAGCCCTCTTGGAGCAGTTTGCAGGCAATACCATAGGTGGAATGTTTTCATGAGTTTATCTCACTATCTGTGTCATCTTTCAGATGAATTTCCCCAACAAGGATCCTACGACGACCTTCTCTCAGTTGACAGAGGTGAGTATGTTTTGAAGATGTCCAAGAAATGAAATACTTTGTTTTTCACTTAAGCAAGTCGTGCAAGGGTCTTGCTCCTCAAGTTAGTGCTATTTCGTGTTTGAAGTAACATATATCAACCACGAGAGACCGTGTTGGAATCCAAACACCGAGAAGAGAGTTGAAAATACGACGCGCAGCGGAGTATTTTTGACGAAATTTCAGGTGTTTGGATAGCCAATGAAACACTGTTTCGAGTGTTTGTTATATCTTCTCAATCGAAACAAACACTAAGGAGTAAAAGAAGAAGTAAAATTGTCGAAATCTATGCTAATTAAACCGGGTATCCAAACCTCCTTCACGATTGTGAATTTCCTTGTTTTAACTTGATGATCCGGGTGAGGGGAGTTCTGACAAGAACTGTTGTTGGTGACGTTTTAGACGTTTCGACAACCTGAGTGGAAGTCATCTTCAGAGTTAAGTGAATGTGTTTGTCAGTCTATGATGTTGTAAGTCTGGTCCGTTGAACGTGATTGATCAGTATAGCCATGATGGTATTGGCTGAAAGACTCGTGTAAAGTTTGTCATCAGTCATTGGTGGGTTTCGATCCGTCTATTGTTAGNAAACTATCGCTTTCAAGTGCAGTTTTCGTTTGTAATAGTGTTTATCTCAAGCTTTGTTAAATCTGTACATATACAGTGTTTTGTACCAAAGGTAGCCTGTGAGAAAGCCCTCTTGGGGCAGTTTGCAGGCTATACCATAGGTGGAATGTTTTTATGACAGTTTATCTCACTATCTGTGTCATCTTTCAGATGAATTTCCCTAACAAGGATCCTACGACGACCTTCTCTCAGTTGACGGAGGTGAGTATGTTTTGAAGATGTCGAAGAAATGAAATACTTTGTTTTTCACTTAAGTAAGTCGTGCAAGTGGGAGGCGCGGTGGACTCATGGTTAGTGCGCTCATCTCCGGATCGAGCGGTCCGGGTTCGAGCCCTGGCCTGGGACATTGTGTTGTGTTCTTGGGCGAGACACTTTACTCTCACAGTGCCTCTCTCCACCGAGGTGTATAAATGGGTACCGGCGAACTTAATGCTGGNNTGGACTAGCATCCCATCCAGGGGGGAGTAGAAATACTCCTAGTCGCTTCATGCTACAGAAACCGGGATAAGCTCCGGCCTGATGGGCCACGTGGCTCGCATGCAGACTTTACCTTTTTTTAAGTCGTGCAAGGGTCTTAAGTTGCTCCTCAAGTTAGTGCTATTTCGCGTTTGAAGTAACATATATAAACCACGAGAGACCGTGTTGGAATCCAAACACCGAGAAGAGAGTTGAAAATAAGACGCGCAGCGGAGTATTTTGGACGAAATTTGAGGTGTTTGGATAGCCAATGAAACACTTTTGGAGTGTTTGTTATATCTTCTCAATCGAAACAAACACCAAGGAGTAAACGAAGAATTAAAATCGTCAAAATCTATGCTAATTAAGACCGGGTATCCAAACCTCCTTCATGGTTGTGAATTTCCTAGTCTTAAACTTGATGATCCGAGTGAGGGTAGTTCTGAAAAGAACTGTTGTTGGTGACTTTTTAGACGTTTCGACAACCTGAGCGGAAGTCATCTTCA